GGGGTGGGTCGGACCTGACTCTTGCATCGGAGAACGGAGCATGGGTGGGTCGGACATGACTCTTGCATCGGAGAACGGAGCAGGGGTGGGTCGGACATGACTCTTGCATGGGAAAACGGAGTAGGGGTAGGTCGGACTTGACTCTTGCATCGGAGAACGGAACAGGGGTGGGTCTGACATGACTCTTGCATGGAAGAACAGCATGGGTGGGTCGGACTTGACTCTTGCATCGGAGAACGGAGCAGGGGTGGGTCGGACATGACTCTTGCATGTGAAAACGGAGTAGGGGTAGGTCGGACTTGACTCTTGCATGGGGAAACGGAGCAGGGGTGGGTCGGACAGGGCTCTTGCATGTAAGAACGGAGCAGGGGTGGGTCGGTCATGACTCTTGCATGTAAGAACGGAACAGGGGTGGGTTTGACCGATGTCCTTGGATGACAACATGAGCAGCAAGTAACCTGTGGAAGGCTGTTGTGAATAATCAGCAGATTCATGAGAAATTATAAACAGTGAGAACATGTCGTAGCTTGTGTTAATATCATGTCGTAGCTTGTGTTAATATCATGTCGTAGCTTGTGTTAATATCCTGTCGTAGCTTGTGTTAATATCATGTCGCAGCTTGTGTTAATATCCTGTCGTAGCTTGTATTAATATCATGTCGTAGCTTATGTTAATATCATGTCGTAGCTCGTGTTAATATCACGTCGTAGCTTGTGTTAATATCATGTCGTAGCTTGTGTTAATGTCGTATTGCGTTTCCACAGTGTTGCTTTTACTCCACCTTCTTGAGAGCTGTCCCGATGTAACGGGGCCAAACGCTCGCCTGCGGAACCGAACGTCAGAGGGAGACGGGGCAGAAGGCAGTGAACAGGCATGGCTACCAACACCACCCATGGTATGGGCAATAAGAAGTGTATTTCTAACTCCATTTATGCCCCCTGGTCCGATCATCATTCAATATCTATACATGTATTTGAGCATTATAAGTAAAGTGAAGAACCCTTTTCATGTAGGTGGTACATCGAGGGTATGATGATAGACTCGATGTAATCAACACCACGCCGGACAACTTTACTTCCAAGGACAGTACTTGGAGGTCTGGGTCGACCTATGAGCCGCAGTTTTGGAGGCATGAAAATCTGCCGCACATACCGCCTCTACAGCAAAACCTGCTAGAAACCCATGGCCAGCAGATGGAAAAGGAATAACTGGGCAACCCTGGAGACTTACTAGTGACATTCTAGTTTTGGGAGGAAAACACTTCTTTCTTTTACTTGAAATATATTATCTATATCTGCAGTTTTGTCTCTAGTATGAACTTCACTATCTTTTTTTTTAAATTCACTCAGCGGTTAGTGTTATATTTGGGATAGTCTTCAACACAACTGATAACCTAAAGGTTTAATGACGGGAGGATCGACTTTATTACACCGGGTTTTATCTCATATTTTCGGTCGATCTCTCTCTCTCCCCCCCCCCCTCTCTCCCTCTCCCCCCTCTCTCTCTCTTTATCTCTCTCTTTATCTCTCTCTCCCTCTCTCTCTTTATCTCTCTCTCTTTCTCTCTGTTTCTCTCTGTTCAGAACGGCTAGCCGCCTGCTGAGAGCGTAGCACAAAGCACGAACTGTATAGCTTCGGCGACAGTACCCAAGGGTGTTCGTAAAAAATTGCACTCGTCAACTGAAAGGCGCAGCTGTGAAACAAATCCACGACCTTCAGAGCGCGAGGACAAACGGCTTGACCAATTCGCCACAGAGACCCACTAAGAACTGATGACCTAAGCATATCAAACCAGATCGCAAAGAAGAATCCACAATATTGGGGTCAACAAGCCGTGACCACTACACAGCCTTGCCTTTTTCAAAGTATCAAAGTACTCCTAAAATAGGACCTACAGGATACAGTCCTGCACTGGTAACACACTTTTACAACAACAGAGTAATGGCCCTAACAGGTGTCTGTGGCAGATATTTTGTTACTAAGCGGCCGGCTATTAATTGTAATGCGTATACTAGGAAAGACTAAAGACCTTCCTTGCAACACGTGCCACTGCAGCACCGTCAGGGGAGGTGTTGTTTGCGTTCTGTACTGGGATTTCTAAGAGTGAACAGATAAAACGGTTAGGCTTCTGAATTATTTTGATGGCATGTGGTGCTAGGCCGGTGTTTTGTGTGTGTGTGTGTGTGTTTTTTTTAAAATAATTTTTGTTCTTTTAAAAAATATACATTCAGTTCAGTGCCTGTGATCATGATACAGTCAGTTCTGTGCCTGTTCTAGTGATGCAGTCAGTTCCGTGCCTGTTCTAGTGATGCTGTCAGTTCCGTGCCTGTTCTAGTGATGCAGTCAGTTCCGTGCCTGTTCTAGTGATGCAGTCAGTTCCGTGCCTGTTCTAGTCATGCAGTCAGTCCCGTGCCTGTTCTAGTGATGCAGTCAGTTCCGTGCCTGTTCTAGTGATGCAGTCAGTTCCGTGCCTGTTCTAGTCATGCAGTCAGTCCCGTGCCTGTTCTAGTGATGCAGTCAGTCCCGTGCCTGTTCTAGTGATGCAGTCAGTTCCGTGCCTGTTCTAGTGATGCAGTCAGTTTCGTGCCTGTGCTCGTGATGCAGTCAGTTCCGTGCCTGTTCTAGTGATGTAGTCAGTTCCGTGCCTGTTCTAGTGATGTAGTCAGTTCCGTGCCTGTTCTAGTGATGCAGTCAGTTCCGTGCCTGTTCTAGTGATGCAGTCAGTTCCGTGCCTGTGATCATGATGTAGTCAGTTCCGTGCCTGTGCACGTGATGCAGTCAGTCCCGTGCCTGTTCTAGTGATGCAGTCAGTTCCGTGCCTGTTCTAGTGATGCAGTCAGTTCCGTGCCTGTTCTAGTGATGCAGTCAGTTCCGTGCCTGTTCTAGTGATCCAGTCAGTTCCGGGCCTGTGCTCATATACAGTCAGTTCCGTGCTGGCGACTTTATCTTCCGAAGAAGTTGCCTGTCGTCGTTTTGTTATAGCTTGTGTATTGTTGATAAATAATCGACTTGTTAAAGTCTTCTTCTTCTTCTTCTTCTTCTTCTTCTTCTTCTTCTTCTTCTTCTTCTTCTTCTTCTTCTTCTTCTTCTTCTTCTTCTTCTTCTTCTTCTTCTTCTTCTTCTTCTTCTTCTTCTTCTTCTTCTTCTTCTTCTTCTTCTTCTTCTTCTTCTTCTTCTTCTTCTTCTTCTTCTTCTTCTTCTTCTTCTTCTTCTTCTTCTTCTTCTTCTTCTTCTTCTTCTTTTTCTTCTTCTTTCTTCTTCTTCTTCTTCTTCTTCTTCTTCTTCTTCTTCTTCTTCTTCTTCTTCTTCTTCTTCTTCTTCTTCTTCTTCTTCTTCTTCTTCTTCTTTTCTTCTTCTTCTTCTTCTTCTTCCTTCTTCTTCTTCTCTTCTTCCTTTTATTCTTTTCTTCTTCTTCTTCTCTTCTTCTTCTTCTTCTTCTTCTTCTTCTTCTCTTCTTCTTTCTTCTTCTTCTTCTTCTTCTTCTTCTTCTTCTTCTTCTTCTTCTTCTTCTTCTTCTTCTTCTTCTTCTTCTTCTTCTTCTTCTTTTCTTAGTAGTAGTAGTATAGAAGTAGTAGTAGTAGTAGTAGTAGTAGTAGTAGTAGTAGTAGTAGTAGTAGTAGTAGTAGTAGTAGTAGTAGTAGTAGAAGTAGTAGTAGTTGTAGTGGTAGTTGTTGTAGTAGTAGTAGTAGAAGTAGTAGTAGTAGTAGTAGTAGTAGTAGTAGTAGTAGTAGTAGTAGTAGTAGTAGTAGTAGTAGTAGTAGTAGTAAAAAGTAGTAGTAGTCGTAGTCGTAGTAGTAGTAGTTGTAGTAGAAGTAGTAGTAGTAGTAGTCGTAGTAGTAGTAGTAGTAGTAGTATAGTAGTAGTAGTAGTAGTAGTAGTAGTAGTAGTAGTAGTAGTAGTAGTAGAAGTAGTAGCAGTAGTAGTAGTAGTAGTAGAAGTAGTAGTAGTAGTAGCAGTAGTAGTAGTAGTAGTAGAAGTTGAGTTGAATTGAGTTGAGTCAAGAATTGACTCGGGGCATTACCATGCATGCTCCATCCTCATCTTCAGCAGCCAGCGCAGAGTTCCAGTGCTGATGGTACCGGTCACAATCTAGTTATATGTCCGTTTTGCCTTTCCTCTGAGTGTAGTGAGCCGGCCAGACCCTCTGGTTACACCCAGGTTTCTCATTCTCTCTAGGCCATAATTATCTTTTCTGATTCCGTTGCTTGTTTTCCAAAGGGCCTTGAGTAGTAGTATGTTGAGGGGCAAATAAATGTATACTATGCTAGAAATAATGTGATGTGTACAAATAAATTCTTTAAAGATAATTTCTATACATGGTAAAAATGTGACTTCTAGTTCCTTTACAAATTATAGAAAAGGGCTGAAGTCGGAGGAGGAAAGGGGGGGGGGGGGAGCGAATACCCCGTCTCAACACATTTTGACCCCCGTGTGGGTTCCGGGGCCCCATTGTGGGGAAAACAAGAATAGACTCACTGCCTCCCCAAAAGCATGACGTAACTGTCGACTAATTGGGGAGCTTCCTTTGAAGTCGGAGTGCATCTGCCGGAGAGGCAAGTAACCAACCGTCTGTATTCAAGAGAATGAGATCTGTAAAACTGATGCACACGCAACACTCAGGTTCTGGAGCAGGACTGCAGTTCAGTAGTGGACGAGCAACCAGAACTGTCCGCCATAGGTACAGCTGGTGAACGCGAAGAAGAAGAAGAAGAAGAAGAACACATTTTGCTATTCCCTCTCCCCTGCCTACGAAAAACAATATTTTCTATGCGTTGTTGCGCCTGCTAAGATCTGAACTTTTACCCGTTATTTCTATTATTTCTATATTTGACGATCAATACCTGTAAATTCCTTGATTTTATTTTATCTTTTATTTCTCTTCGGTGCCCTTAAAGCTCTACCAACAAGCTGCTGACCTTCGTTAATAAATTAATTCGACTAGAAATGCTGTGAATTCAAATTGTTGCAGATAAAACTGCAAACATCGGAAGACGTTTTAGAATGTCATGCACCGATTGTGCCCAGAAATTTCAAAAATGGCGGAAATACGTCGTAATAGTCGGTGGCATATTTATCTATCTACCAATTGGTGTGCCGTGGTATTTTGGTGAGTATCATTATCACTGTAAATGTTGTTTGTCGTTCCTTTGTAGTTTTCCTTTTTACTTAGTTGGGGTAAGAACTGTTCTCTTTGTGTAATAAGTCAGCTGGTTAAACAAGAGAGCATACAGAACCTAGCTATACGGGTCATTCTGGGATGTACCAGAGACACCCCAGTGACGTGTATGCGATACATTCTTGGTTTGCCGACTGCTGCAAGTAGGCATAAGGTGCTGCAGGCGAAGTCATATCTCAGGGTAGCTGCAGACACAGACCACCCTTTGCACGAAGCTCTGGGCGCAGTTAAGGGTCAGCGGCTGATAAGAGAGACGAGAAGACAGTTTTGTATCCTGGAGAACATCAGGAGAGGAAAGGAGCGGATCAGAGAGCCAGCTGAACAGTCAGATTCGTGTAGTCATGATCACACTGAGCTGGGAGTGCAGGCACTGGCCAGCAGGTGCCACGGGGGTGGAGGAAGCTCAGCAGTTAATTAAGGATAATGCTGGCTCAGGTGATTTGATTATTTACACAGACGGTTCAGTTTCAAGAAGCAAAAGAAATGCTTAGGGGTTCTCAGCAAAAGCTAATGGTCGACGTTTGGTGCAGGAAAGCCTAGAATATGATACCACAACATCAACCTTAAGGATGGGGGTAGAGACGGTTACTGCAGCTTTCCGCTGGCTGGAGAACACGGTATACACACATACAAACAAACACATACACACATACATCGTGACTGTAACTGACTCAAAGAGCATGATAAGAAAGGTGAGAACAGGCACGCTTTATGTAAAGAGTCACGGATGAGAAGCGTTGTTTGGATATTTTCTCCGGGGAATGCCGGTGTTTCAGAAATCTACAGACGGACAGACTGGCTGGCTCTGCACAGCTTGGTGGAATACTAATGCATGATAAGGCAGATGTTTACAGGAGCAAATAGATCCTCAGTCTGTTGAGAGCGATAAGTGTCAAGAGTCTTTTGTTGAACTTCTGATTTGGGAGCGTCCTCTAGCTAGTTCCTGGTCTCACAACCTAATTTGTTTAGAACCTTGTTGCTCGGACGCTTTGACTCCCTCCTCCCATCGCCCAATATTCTCAAGCATGAACATATGTTCTTTATGTAATGGGAATACTTAATGGATTTTTTTCCCCCAAGCCTTTAAATAAGTAATACTGGGATTATGTAGTAGCTACTAATAATATAATTAATTAGCTGAAAGGATTTCCTTAGTGTATATTGAACCACTGAACCATTCAGCACATAGGTACAATGGTAACTCGGTTATCGTCTTTAGTTCGTTCCAAATCGTTTGACGTATATCAAACAGAACCTATACCAAACAGAAGGTATACCAAACAGGACGTAAACCAAACAGGGCGTATACCAAACAGAAAATATACCAAACAGTAGGTGTACCAAACAGAACCTATACCAAATAGAACTTATACATAACAGGACGTAAACCAAACTTGACGTAAACCGAAACAACTTTCCCGCAAGAAATAAAAGGAGAATGATAGATCCGTTTAAAAAAATCCTCTTATGATGCTGAGAAGGGAGAAGGTGAATATGTTTTTGTTTGGAAGGAGTCACCTCGCAGTAAAACATCTGGGATCGGAAATTCTCTTGTGTTTTTTTCTCCTTGTCCATTTTTTTCCCGCTACCTGGCTGAGGCTCATCAGATTTAACTCTTACTTACAATCGGTCCGGGGGGTGGGGGGGGGGGGACTGCGTGGTCTCGGGGCATGGTGTCCGCCTCGAGTGCTAGAGGTTCCGGGTTCAAGTCTCGGTAAGGGCTGGGATTTTTTCACATGGACTTAGACTTCTAGCGATTTCTCCTGGTCTCTGGGTAATGAGATCGGAGTTTAAAAAATCTACCCAAAGTATTTCAGGATCCTCGCCAGTGCTACAGAGCCTGTACACTGTGCTGAGCGTCTTCGGACTCAGACTTGGGTTACACCCGTGCGCCACGATGTTGATCCGTTGTTTAAAAACCTCAACAACAACAACTTACAATCGGTTTAAAGAACTTTGCTTTGCTTTATTCTTGGGATGTTTCCGAAATGTGACATTTTTTTTTTTTTTAAAAACCGGCAATGGTATTCCGGCTTGTGTGTGCTTTTTTTTTTTTTTTTTTTGAGGTGGTACTTCTCTGCAAGGGAGCCGCAGCGGTCTAGCGGCTAGACGCTTCGCTGAGGATGGGAAGGTCGTGGGTTCTGTTCCTGAGGAGGGCCGGATTTTTTTCTCTCCCAGTTCGACCCAGCCTTGAGTGGGGGGTCAGGTCAGGTCATGGGAAGTAAAGGCGGCCCGTGTAATGCTGACCACATCACCCACCAAGTGCCGATTGGTCTATAAAATATAGGCCTGGCCCTAAAGGCTATATATAATACGCCTGAGAGGCGTGGAAAAGGGTCCATTACTTTTACTTCTTTGCAAAGTTTTTGACATTCATCAATTTAGCATCCAAAGGCGTGCGGAAAAAGTCCAATAGCTTTGATGTAGAAGTTTTAAAAGTAGAGTCACCATTAGGTCCCGTTTTCAACGGGACAGTATTTTTTTTTTTAAGGTAGACCCCGTCCGTCCCGTCGATAATGAGACCCCCCCCCCCCCCCCTTTTTTTCCACCCCAAAGTATCGACTATACATGATCCGCACTTAAGGCTAGGTCGACCTAGGAGCCAAATATCTGAAACAGTCCAGCTCCGTTAGGATTTGAATCCACGACCTTCGATTGCACAGACGAGCGTCTAGCCATTTTACCAGGACGGCTGCCCCTTTTCACGGTAATTGATTATACAATATTTTTCATTCTTTTCATAATAATAACATCCAGCTTTTCAGTGAAATATCGTCATTTTTTTTTTTTTTTGACATTTCTTTCCAGGAAACCTGGCCACCTATATCAACTCCTACTTCCACGCCCAGGCCCCAAACGAGGTGGATTTCGTGGACCCACAGTGGATCTTTTCTGCCTTCTTCATCACCTTCTCCTTGGCCCTCATTGCCTCTGGGTACATTAGTAATATGTATGGTCCACGACTGACAGTGCTCGGAGCTCTGATAGTTCACAGGTAAATATCATCATCATCATTATCATCATCATCATCACCGTCTTCGTCGTTATCATCATCATCATTGCCGTCGTCGTTATCGCCATATCATCTTTATCATCATTGTTGTCGTCGTCGTCACTATTGTCATCATCATCATCCTGTTGTAACATAAAATGCAGAAAACAGAGTCCGGCTGTTGTAGAAGCAGAAGTTCAAGCCTTGATTTTTTAGAACGCTCTAGAGGGTGTTGCTGTCATTTACACAGATGGTTCTGTAATCCGCCTCGTTAGAAGCTCGTGGGCTTTCACGGCTCAGTTCTAGGAAGGGTTGTAAAGGAAGATTCTGGAGCTTTTGCAGTAACTACAAGTAGTCTGACTATAGAGGTCATGGCTGTGACTAAAGCAGTAACATGGCTAGAGACACAGACTTTCACTGGGGCCTGCTTTCTCAGTGACTCGATGAGTATGCTCAGGAACAGGAAGATAGAGAAGGGCTGGGTCCGAAGGCAGTAGTTGATGGCTCTACAGAATTCACGGCTGACAAGGATTAGTTTCATTTTCGTGCCAGGACATGTGGGGGTACAAGGAAATGAGCAAGCTGATTCGCTTGCAGGTAAGGCTACTGTGAAAGCCGGACAAGCCATGGACCAGGCGGATATACTAAATGCTCTAAGAGAGTTAAGACGTTTGAGTGAGCCAAATGAGAACTGTGAATCTGCGGTCATGGTCAGACTGCAAGAACAACATGTTAAACAGGGTGTCGCCAAACAAGAACACTACGTGGGTAGCCAAAGAAGAAGAATAAATCTACACAGAACTGGTGTCGTTAGCCGCTACACGCTGCATAATTTACTGAGGAGAGGGTCCGAGCACTTATGGACTGAGGGGTTCGGCGTGCAATGAGGATTACCTGTCGACTAACTAACTAACTAACTAACTAACTAACTAACTAACTAACTAACTAACTAACTAACTAACTAACTAACTAACTAACTAACTAACTAACTAACTAACTAAACTAAACTAACTAGCTAACTAACTAACTAGCTAACTAACTAACTAACTAACTAACTAACTAACTAACTAACTAACTAACTAAACTAAACTAACTAGCTAGCTAACTAACTAGCTAGCTAGCTAACTAACTAAACTAACTAACTAACTAACTAACTAACTAACTAACTAACTAACTAACTAACTAACTAACTAACTAACTAACTAACTAACTAAACTAAACTAACTAGCTAGCTAGCTAACTAACTAACTAGCTAACTAAACTAACTAACTAACTAACTAACTAACTAACTAACTAACTAACTAACTAACTAACTAACTAACTAACTAACTAACTAACTAACTAACTAACTAACTAACTAACTAACTAACTAACTAACTAACTGACTGACTGACTGACTGACTGACTGACTGACTGACTGACTGACTGACTGACTGACTGACTGACTGACTGACTAACTAACTAGCTAGCTAGCTAACTAACTAGCTAACTAACTAACTAACTAAACTAACTAGCTAACTAACTAACTAACTAACATCCTATTGTAGCTGTATGCAACACACAGTCAGGGCCGCCGAGAAGATTATTAAGTTCTGGAACTAGACTAACATGTCTCCCTCACCTATACATGGACACATGCATCAATGATGTCTTTAAAAAAAGGGTTTGTGAACAATTTAGGCTTTCTGGGCCCCCGTTTGGGTTCACTGCGCCCGGAACTGTATACCGGCTTCCCCCTCTCCCACTATCATGTCTGCATACAGGGCTAGAAATCTAGTTCCCAATTCTAATGTAAGACGAGCCTATGTGTTCAATTTGTGACCCTTTGAGAAT